CCGGCATCGGTGCAGGCAGGGGATGGTGTGTGGCTTGCCCGGAGCACAGGGATGGGATGTCTGAGGAAGAGGAGGGCTGCAGTGTCCTGCTGTCCATGCCGGTGCCAGCGGGGCAGCTTAAATGTTCATTTGGATGTAAAGGTGTTGCTGTATTAATGGCAGCGAGCACCAGATAACGCCGGGAGGTGGCAGTTATATTGCTATGTGTCTGCTGGTGCATTTGGGGTGCTTATTGTGAGCTGGGGTAGGAACTGCCCTGCACAGAGCTCCCCAAAATGCCTGCCCTAGCAGAGCTGCATGCATGTGTGGGGATGTGTGTGACCAGAGCTGGCTGAACATTCTCACTGCCAGGCTGCGAGGTGGGGACAGCAGTGCGAAGGTGCGGGCAGGGACCGAGGGTCCCTGGGAGGCCACGCTGGGGACCGGGATCTTCCTGGGTGGGGGGTGAGGCAGAGACCTGATTGCTCTCTTGCAGATGGAGGGCTTTGAGGAGCTGGAGAGCAGCCTCCTGACGCAGCCTTGGGCTTCTGTTTGCTTTGGCGAGATGGCTTTTCTTGCCAAAGCGTGCTTCAGGGATACTGGCTACATCCTGCTGATCTCTGACCTCAGCAGTGTCTGGTACGAGAGTGCAGATGCCGAGGCCGTAGGACGAAGGTCCAAGGTGAGTGTCTGGAAAGTCCAGGGACCTCCTTTTCTCCTCACAGCAGCTGATGTCTGAGCATAAACTGCTTGGTGACACAATGGCTGTTGGCTTTGTCCGGGCTTGGGTGCAAACACCCGGCCTGGGAAATCCCCGGCTGGCTCTGCCCAAGCACTGTCACCCCAGTTGGCCGAGCACCCTCCTCCTAGGAAAGAGGGCCAGGCTATCCAGCATGCCCAGGGCAGCCAGGTGTTCACCAGGGCTGCGTGCTGAGGCTGGCACACTCATTTCACTTGTGGGCTGGATGGGCAGCTGACTTCCCCAGACCACTGTACTAAGGAGGAGCTTGAAAGAAGGCTGCCTTCCCACCAGTGACGGAGAGACTCCTGTTTGCATTCGTAGCCAGGCACAGGTTCCCTTGGGGTGTCCTGTCAGCACGGCCCCCAAAACACATGGGGGCGTGCCTCATCCCTTCACCCTAGTCTGTGTGCCCAGGCCCCTACATGCCACCCCTGTCTGCCACGTCCCTCTGTCACAAAGTGGCTGTGCTGAGCAGCTGGTGGCAGGAGGGATAGGCGTGTGGTGGTAGCACTAGTAGGTTAGCTGAGCTGTGACAGCTGTCGGCCAGCCTGTGACACTCGTGGTGGCACACAGGGCAGATGTGCTAGTGGAGACCATTGCACCCTGCCCACCACCCAGACCCTCCTGGGCTGGTGGGGCAGGGGAGCCTTCCCAGCTCGGTTGGCCTGGGATGCTGAGGAATGTCCTGTCGTAGGGCTGGAAGCCCAGGGGTGGCTTTTTGCAGTGCTGGGACGCACAGAAGCAGTTTGTCTCCTTCTGTGCTGGAGTTTCTGCTGCTTTTTTCCCAGTTCTGAGCTCCCCGGGGCTTTGCTGTACCCCTAACCTTGCCTTTCCCCAGGAGTTGAACAAGCGGCTGACGGTCCACGTGTCCTCCTTCCTGCACCGCTTGCGCAACCTGATGTGCCCCTTGCTGGCAGGGCAGCCAAACGATGCCACCTCCTTCTCCTGCCACTGCACTGCCGACGGCCTCAGCCTGCATGTGAAGAGCGAGTTCTCGGGGCTGCCCTTCTACTGGGACTTCCACTGCTGCCCCGCTCCCGTGGAGATGGTGAGGAACGCTGTGAACAGTTTGGGGAGGGAGGTGGCCTAAATAAAAGATTGTCTCCTAAGGCTTGGAGGCTTTTGGGTAGTCTCGGGCCGTGATAGTGGCTGTAGGGTGCCTGGCTCTGCCTCCTGCCCCTCCTGAGGTTCAATGCCCCCATTTCTTCCCATTGAGGCTTTGGCACCTTGGTTGGTTCCTGGCAGCGAGGCAGGGACGGCCCAGCACATGCTGCTACCAGGGCAGCAGGGAGATGTCTGGTTTGGGATGTTGCCCTGCCAGCGCCCCGCATAGCACAGGGATGCTCTTCTCCTTCTATGTACCCCGTGAAGCGGGGTACG